AACATGTCCGCTGTTAGATAGTCAGAGTACACTCCCTCACTGAAACCCTCCATGGAGGTGGGAGGTATTAGATACACATTCACAGGTAAGTGATCGGATGTTTAATGCTGTCTGTCTTGTAGGCAGGTAATATTCAGGTTAGTTCTTGTCTTTAGTGACATGTCTTCATAGAGGTGTCATAACTTTTGAAGTTAGGGCCATGTTGTCTTGTTGTCATGGTATGGTAATAAAACTATGAATTCTTGGAATACTCATGGTGGAATGTTTATTGTTTGGAGATAATTTAGTCAGGTGTGAGCAGGGTGACAGCTAGGACCTTCATCTTGTCCTCTTGTCCTCTTAAAGCAGGGGAGGCTGCCACCGACCTGCATCTTCTCCACTGAAAATAATACAACACAATCTCTCATTAGTTATTGAAACAATAGCTTCATATACATGTAAAATCTGTTAAAATATACCTCTTTCGACATCTAATGATGAAAGGTTGACTTCTTTTTCTCATTTTCAGATAAATATTCAGTGTTCATGAACCTTTCAAAAAGTTGCTATTGAGGATTGCTGTATTGTAATGAAAGTGAAAGACATTCTGAGAGCTCCATCTTACATACGTCATCTCCTGGCTACACAAATTCCAGCTGACTGCAGAACTTAGTGTATGTGTGAAATATGCAATCACATGGAATTTGGGGCATTACAAAGGATATTTTTAGCATCCATTATTTTTATTTTGGGAAATAAATGTGACAGCTATAAAAGTGCCTCTTAGGCAAGCCAGAGCTATGATCATGAGTTTAAATCCCCAATTTGCCCTGATGACACTCCCTTGCTTGGATCATGAGTTTAAATCCCCAATTTGCCCTGATGACACTCCCTTGCTTGGATCATGAGTTTAAATCCCCAATTTGCCCTGATGACACTCCCTTGCTTGGATCATGAGTTTAAATCCCCAATTTGCCCTGAAGACACTCCCTTGCTTGGATCATGAGTTTAAATCCCCAATTTGCCCTGATGACACTCCCTTGCTTGGATCATGAGTTTAAATCCCCAATTTGCCCTGATGACACTCCCTTGCTTGGATCATGAGTTTAAATCCCCAATTTGCCCTGATGACACTCCCTTGCTTGGATCATGAGTTTAAATCCCCAATTTGCCCTGATGACACTCCCTTGCTTGGATCATGAGTTTAAATCCCCAATTTGCCCTGATGACACACCCTGCCTTGGATCATGCGTTTAAATCCCCAATTTGCCCTGATGACACACCCTTGCTTGGATCATGAGTTTAAATCCCCAATTTGCCCTGATGACACTCCCTTGCTTGGATCATGCGTTTAAATCCCCAATTTGCCCTGATGACAAACCCTTGCTTGGATCATGCGTTTAAATCCCCAATTTGCCCTGATGACACACCTTGCTTGGATCATGAGTTTAAATCCCCAATTTGCCCTGATGACACTCCCTTGCTTGGATCATGAGTTTAAATCCCCAATTTGCCCTGATGACACACCCTTGCTTGGATCATGCGTTTAAATCCCCAATTTGCCCTGATGACACACCCTAGCTTGGATCATGAGTTTAAATCCCCAATTTGCCCTGATGACACACCCTTGCTTGGATCATGCGTTTAAATCCCCAATTTGCCCTGATGACACACCCTTGCTTGGATCATGCGTTTAAATCCCCAATTTGCCCTGATGACACTCCCTTGCTTGGATCATGCGTTTAAATCCCCAATTTGCCCTGATGACACTCCCTTGCTTGGATCATGAGTTTAAATCCCCAATTTGCCCTGATGATACTCCCTTGCCTGGATCATGAGTTTAAATCCCCAATTTGCCCTGATGACACTGTGACCCTAGCTTGGATCATGAGTTTAAATCCCCAATTTGCCCTGATGACACTCCCTTGCTTGGATCATGCGTTTAACTCCCCAATTTGTCCTGATGACACTGTGACCCTAGCTTGGATCATGAGTTTAAATCCCCAATTTGCCCTGATGACACACTCTTGCTTGGATCATGAGTTTAACTCACCAATTTGCCCTGATGACACTGTGACCCTTGCTTGGATCATGAGTTTAAATCCCCAGTTTGCCCTGATGACACACTCTTGCTTGGATCATGAGTTTAAATCCCCAATTTGCCCTGATGACACACCCTTGCTTGGATCATGCGTTTAAATCCCCAATTTGTCCTGATGACACTGTGACCCTAGCTTGGATCATGAGTTTAAATCCCCAATTTGCCCTGATGACACTGTGACCCTTGCTTGGATCATGAGTTTAAATCCCCAATTTGCCCTGATGACACTGTGACCCTTGCTTGTAACTACGTAATTGAAATGTGAGTTTAGATATTTGTCCTACTTTTGAAAGTGAAATGTTTCTTTCTATGACAACTAGAAGAAAGTGTCACAAAAGGGTTATTTATGTGGCTTACAATATTGTACCCCAGCTAACAAGTGGCCTCAGCAATATATCGTTGGTTATTACGTCACCGGTGCATGTGTACTCTGCCAGCTACATTCACTGGCAGAGAAACCCTGGATTCTTAGGAGAAAGACATCATTAACTTTCTGTTTTCTGGGTTCAATTGAGATTTTGGATGTCTGAAAAATTCTTTTGGGCGTTTCAAAGTTTTTCTGATACTAATCCCACACAATATGTATGGATGTGATGCATATGTCACTTAACTAATGCCATGTTTTGTTCCATGTTACATGATAGTATGGAGTGATAGTCCAGCAGATCCACAAATTTAATTCCCAGTTAACAATATCTGTTTATATAGATCCGATTACAGCGCACACTCTCCCTGTGTGTTGTCGTCCCTAGTCGAGTCTGGGGCGGTCGGGCAGCCTAGTGGTTAAAGCGTTCACTCGTTATGCCAAAGGCCCGGGTTCGATTCCCCACGTAGGTACAATGTGTGAAGCCCATTTCTTGTGTACCCTGCCATGATATTGCTGGAATATTGCTAAAAGTGGCTTAAAACCATACTCACTCACTCATCTAGTTGAGGGTAACATCATGTGTGAGGACCACTCGGTTCAGTTTGTGATGCTGACTCTCATCAGCTATACTGCAATATTACATGTTGTTACACGCACCTCCTCACTCATGGCTGTGTGTGTATGTGAGGTCCTGCTTGACATGTTCTTTCTGTATATCATTCATGTCCCTGCAACACTGATATTATGACACAAGTGTTGTCTGCGATGACACAAGTGTTGTCTGCGATGACACAAGTGTTGTCCGCGATGACACAAGTGTTGTCTGCGATGACACAAGTGTTGTCTGCGATGACACAAGTGTTGTCCGCGATGACACAAGTGTTGTCCGCGATGACACAAGTGTTGTCTGCGATGACACAAGTGTTGTCCGCGATGACACAAGTGTTGTCTGCGATGACACAAGTGTTGTCTGCGATGACACAAGTGTTGTCCGCGATGACACAAGTGTTGTCCGCGATGACACAAGTGTTGTCCGCGATGACACAAGTGTTGTCCGCGATGACACAAGTGTTGTCCGCGATGACACAAGTGTTGTCTGCGATGACACAAGTGTTGTCTGCGATGACACAAGTGTTGTCCGCGATGACACAATAGCTCGGGCAGCTTGATACATGGACGCTGTCTCTGATCTGTGGCAGCATCCTCATGTAATACATAGGTTCAGTGAGTTCTACATGACAAGTAGATGGTGTGGAGGCGTCATACTGGTATGTTTGATTAGATCAAAGTTAGAGCTGCACATACTGCTCATTGTAATACATAATTCGTAGAGGGGAACGTCCGAGTAACTCTCCATTCCTTAAACATGTTGGTGCAGAGGCCCTGCAGGGTAAGCATATTCCCCAACTTAAACTCTTCCCTACTCTTACACTTTCACAAAATATTCTTGTTGAAAATATTTGAAAAATAAACCAGAACTCTTTGTTGTCTGTATTTATACTGCATGAGTCTCCCGTGGTGCGTTCTCTGCACCAAGCTCCATTGCAAGCTGACATTTACAATGCATGGTACACAGCCCTTCATAATTTTGTTGGGTCCTAAACTAGTATTTATCAATCGCTTGCACATTGTTAATACATGCTGACGGGAATAATAGTAAATATAGAGCCCCGAACAAAGGGTATTTATATTACCTTATTTGATTTTTCTCGTCAAAGGTTTATCTAATTGCTATAAGTATGTTGTTGTAGGTAACCTGTTCAAACACAAAATATATGCATCTTATTTTGACCTTTTAAGCATTATGCAAAATTATAAAAATATTTAATAGTTAATGCCACACCATACCTTCACATCCCGCCGTAGCTGAGGTTAACAATTACACATTCTCAAATCAAACGATGGAACCCTGCTGGCAACACATTTTCAGAAAAAAAATGAAATTATTCACTTGTCAATGAAAGTAAAACATAGTTCCGTCTAAGTGGAAATTAATTCAACAGTTGACAAACAACTCTCCATTCCTGAAACATAATGTACAGTTGGCAAACAACTCTCCATTCCTGAAACATAATGTACAGTTGGCAAACAACTCTCCATTCCTGAAACATAATGTACAGTTGACAAACAACTCTCCATTCCTGAAACATAATGTACAGTTGACAAACAACTCTCCATTCCTGAAACATAATGTACAGTTGACAAACAACTCTCCATTCCTGAAACATAATGTACAGTTGGCAAACAACTCTCCATTCCTGAAACATAATGTACAGTTGACAAACAACACTCCATTCCTGAAACATAATGTACAGTTGACAAACAACTCTCCATTCCTGAAACATAATGTACAGTTGACAAACAACTCTCCATTCCTGAAACATAATGTACAGTTGACAAACAACTCTCCATTCCTGAAACATAATGTACAGTTGACAAACAACTCTCCATTCCTGAAACATAATGTACAGTTGACAAACAACTCTCCATTCCTGAAACATAATGTACAGTTGACAAACAACTCTCCATGCCTGAAACATAATGTACAGTTGACAAACAACTCTCCATTTCTGAAAAATAATGGTGCGTCCCAACAATAGAATGATGTTACAGATGTGTTTTAACTCTTGTTCATATGTCTATTGAGTTAAGTAGTTCCACAGACTTGATTTGACCCAGTAATTCTTCCAGGTGTGTCCTGATAGTAGGTGTTTTTATGTGCAGTGCAGGAATTGCGTGTCATGCTTCCACACCGTGACCAGAACATGGTACAGATGCCGACATCAACAGACATCTGAAGGATGATTGCTGCAGGGCGTGTTGCCTCGTCATGTGCAGCAGACATGTACCTACTGTGTCACTTGCCGTCCACACCCACTTTAATTGCCATTACAAGTAATTACATTTCATAAATTCTTGAACCTGTTGTTTACATTGAAGCAGCTGCAACTCACTTGTTTAGCTAGATCTACAGGATCAACCAGTTAATATGCTCAGTGTGTGGGGGTATTGTTGAGACGGAATATATATTCAGTCACGCCTTCTACAACATATTTCAGAACATAAAGCTTGTCCAGTGATCCAGTCATTTTAATTGGTAGAACCCGATGATTTTTTTTCCCAAGTCTCCTCCCAGCCTCCTTCCCCCTCCCTGCTCCTCACAGCATCCCCAACCTCCCCCTCCCCTCTCCTCACAGCATCCCCAACCTCCCCCTCCCCTCTCCTCACAGCATCCCCAACCTCCCTCCCCTCTCCTCACAGCATCCCCAACCTCCCCCTCCCCTCTCCTCACAGCATTCCCCACCTCCCCTTCCCCTCTCCTCACGGCATCCCCCACCTCCCCCTCCCCTCCCCTCTCCTCACAGCATTCCCCACCTCCCCCTCCCCTCTCCTCACAGCATCCCCCACCTCCCCCTCCCCTCTCCCCACAGCATCCCCCACCTCCCCCTCCCCTCTCCTCACAGCATCCCCAACCTCCCCCTCCTCACAGCATCCCCAACCTCCCCCTCCCCTCTCCCCACAGCATCCCCAACCTCCCCCTCCCCTCTCCCCACAGCATCCCCCACCTCCCCCTCCCCTCTCCTCACAGCATCCCCCACCTCCCCCTCCCCTCTCCTCACAGCATCCCCAACCTCCCCCTCCCCTCCCCTCTCCTCACAGCATCCCCAACCTCCCCCTCCTCACAGCATCCCCCACCTCCCCCTCCCCTCCCCTCTCCTCACAGCATCCCCAACCTCCCCCTCCCCTCTCCTCACAGCATTCCCCACCTCCCCCTCCCCTCTCCTCACGGCATCCCCCACCTCCCCCTCCCCTCCCCTCTCCTCACAGCATCCCCCACCTCCCCCTCCCCTCTCCTCACGGCATCCCCCACCTCCCCCTCCCCTCCCCTCTCCTCACAGCATCCCCCACCTCCCCCTCCCCTCTCCTCACAGCATCCCCCACCTCCCCCTCCCCTCTCCTCACAGCATCCCCCACCTCCCCCTCCCCTCTCCTCACAGCATCCCCAACCTCCCCCTCCCCTCTCCTCACAGCATCCCCAACCTCCCCCTCCCCTCTCCTCACGGCATCCCCCACCTCCCCCTCCCCTCCCCTCTCCTCACAGCATCCCCCACCTCCCCCTCCCCTCTCCTCACAGCATCCCCCACCTCCCCCTCCCCTCTCCTCACAGCATCCCCCACCTCCCCCTCCCCTCTCCTCACAGCATCCCCCACCTCCCCTCCCCTCTCCTCACAGCATCCCCAACCTCCCCCTCCCCTCTCCTCACAGCATCCCCCACCTCCCCTCCCCTCTCCTCACAGCATCCCCCACCTCCCCTCCCCTCTCCTCACAGCATCCCCCACCTCCCCTCCCCTCTCCTCACAGCATCCCCAACCTCCCCCTCCTCACAGCATCCCCAACCTCCCCCTCCTCACAGCATCCCCCTCCTCACAGCATCCCCAACCTCCCCCTCCTCACAGCATCCCCCTCCTCACAGCATCCCCAACCTCCCCCTCCCCTCTCCTCACAGCATCCCCAACCTCCCCCTCACCTCCCCTCTCCTCACAGCATACCGTATATCGCTGTGTATAAGGCGACCCCACGTATAAGACGACCCCCCTGTACACGCCTTAAAAATCAACCCAAAATCCTATACTCCGTGTATAAGGCGACCGGGAATGAAACCCATCACAAGTCTGACTGATATAGAAGATTTAACGTGCGCATCCCCACTCCTCACAGCATCCCCAACCTCCCCTCCCCTCTCCTCACAGCATCCCCAACCTCCCCTCCCCTCTCCTCACAGCATCCCCAACCTCCCCCTCCCCTCTCCTCACAGCATCCCCAACCTCCCCCTCACAGCATTCCCAACATCCCCCTCACAGAACCCTCCTTACCTCCCCCTCACAGCATCCCCCACCTCCCCCTCCCCTCTCCTCACAGCATCCCCAACCTACCCTCCCCTCCCCACTCCTCACAGCATCCCCAACCTCCCCCTCCCCTCTCCTCACAGCATCCCCAACCTCCCCCTCCCCTCTCCTCACAGCATCCCCAACCTCCCCCTCCCCTCTCCTCACAGCATCCCCAACCTCCCCCTCCCCTCTCCTCACAGCATCCCCAACCTCCCCCTCCCCTCTCCTCACAGCATCCCCAACCTCCCCTCCCCTCTCCTCACAGCATCCCCAACCTCCCCCTCCCCTCTCCTAACAGCATCCCCAACCTCCCCTTCACAGCATTCCCAACATCCCCCTCACAGAACCCTCCTTACCTCCCCCTCACAGCATCCCCCACCTCCCCCTCCCCTCTCCTCTCCTCACAGCATCCCCAACCTACCCTCCCCTCCCCTCCCCACTCCTCACAGCATCCCCAACCTCCCCCTCCCCTCTCCTCACAGCATCCCCAACCTACCCTCCCCTCCCCTCCCCACTCCTCACAGCATCCCCAACCTCCCCTCCCCTCTCCTCACAGCATCCCCAACCTCCCCCTCCCCTCTCCTCACAGCATCCCCAACCTCCCCCTCCCCTCCCCTCTCCTCTCCTCACAGCATCCCCCACCTCCCCCTCCCCTCTCAACACAGCATCCCTAACCTCCCCCTCCCCTCTCCTCACAGCATCCCCAACCTCCCCCTCCCCTCTCCTCACAGCATCCCCAACCTCCCCCTCCCCTCCCCTCTCCTCTCCTCACAGCATCCCCCACCTCCCCCTCCCCTCTCAACACAGCATCCCTAACCTCCCCCTCCCCTCTCCTCACAGCATCCCCAACCTCCCCCTCCCCTCCCCTCTCCTCACAGCATCCCCCACCTCCCCCTCCCCTCTCAACACAGCATCCCTAACCTCCCCCTCCCCTCCCCACTCCTCACAGCATCCCCAACCTCCTCTGCCCTCTCCTCACAGCATCTCCAACCTCCCCCTCCCCTCCCCTCTCCTCACAGCATCCCCCACCTCCCCCTCCCCTCTCCTCACAGCATCCCCAACCTCCCCTCTCCTCACAGCATCCCCAACCTCCCCCTCACAGCATTCCCAACATCCCCCTCACAGAACCCTCCTTACCTCCCCCTCACAGCATCCCCCACCTCCCCCTCACAGCATCCACCACCTCCCCCTCACAGCATTCCCCACACCCCCCTCACAGCATCCCCAAAATCCCCCTCACAGCATCCCCAAAATCCCCCTCACAGCATCCCCCACCTCCACCTCACAGCATTCCCCACATCCCCCTCACAGCATTCCCCACATCCCCCTCACAGCATCCCCCACCTCCACCTCACAGCATCCTCCCCCTCCCCCTCACAGCATCCCCAACCTCCCCCTGACTCCCTGATACAGATGCCCCTGACTCCCCGATACAGATGCCCCTGACTCCCCGATACAGATGCCCCTGACTCCCCGATACAGATGCCCCTGACTCCCCGATACAGATGCCCCTGACTCCCTGATACAGATGCCCCTGACTCCCTGATACAGATGCCCCTGACTCCCTGATACAGATGCCCCTGACTCCCTGATACAGATGCCCCTGACTCCCTGATACAGTTTCCCCTGACTCCCTGATACAGATGCCCCTGACTCCCTGATACAGATGCCCCTGACTCCCTGATACAGATGCTCCTGACTCCCTGATACATATGCCCCTGACATACTACAAAGGTAGTTCTGACTTTTTGAGAAGAGAACCATAAATCAAACCTGACGTGTATGTATTTGACCTATATATATATCTTTATATATTTCTACCACCTGCATCTTGACATTTTGTTCAAGAAATTTAAACCAAAATATGATTATTGTTTCCTAAACACAGATTTACACCCGTGATGATCCGGCGTAGAATTGGTCTTCAGCAACTCATGCTTGCCGTAAAAGGTGACTATGTTTGTCAGAAGGGGTGACTAACTGGATTGGGTGGCCAGGCTCGCAGACTTGGTTGCATATAATTGTATCCCAATTGTGTACATCGATGCTTATGATGTCAATTACTGGATCATCTGGTCCAGACTCGAAGCCACTCAGAAACCACTCTCAAGAACAACCCTGTTCTCATAGAGAGACTGTCACGGTCAGATGTTAGCATTGCATAACTAAACATATAGAAGCTGCTTCTTGGGTACAGTTGACCTACTGCCTTCAAGTCAGTGATGGGAGGGAGGGAGGGAGGGCGGGCGGGCTGGTGCAGTAACTGCCTGTTTGACAAGCTAGTGACTAACGACTGTCCCACAATGTGTGCTGGTACAGGCAGGACTAACAATAGATGATGGCCCTACTGTCTGTGTTCATTGGTGGCACTGTAATTAAGGTGGGCGTGGCTCAAGGTCATTGTGCAGAATTTGCCATTTTCCCATGGATGTTGGAGAAGAAAGTTGTCACATTCAATTACATACTTCTGTACAAAGTGATTAACGTTGTTGTACCTCTGGGGGGTGTCTGAGTTAGAATCAGCTCACAGTGATCTGTACTTGTTGTGTGTGATTTGGTTGATTACTCCAACAGCTTGGGTTGGTATGACAGTAGTATGACAATTTTATTCATGGATGTGTTTGATGGTATAACAGCAGTATGACACTATTCATGGATGTTTCATGGTATGACAGCAGTATGACAATTTTCGTGGATGTGTTTGATGGTATGACAGCAGTATGACACTATTCATGGATGTTTCATGGTATGACAGCAGTATGACTTATTCATGGATATGTTTGATGGTATGATGTAGTCATTATTTACAGATGTGTTTGATGGTATGACAGCAGCATGACTTTATTCATGGATGTGTTTGATGGTATGACAGCAGTATGACACTATTCATGGATGTGTTTGATGGTATGATGTAGTCATTTTTTACGGATGTGTTTGATGGTATGACAGCAGTATGACTTTATTCATGGATATGTTTGATGGTATAATGTAGTCATTATTTACGGATGTGTTTGATGGTATAACAGCAGTATGACACTATTCATGGATATGTTTGATGTAGTCATTATTTACGGATGTGTTTGATGGTATAACAGCAGTATGACACTATTCATGAATATGTTTGATGGTATGATGTAGTCATTTTTTACGGATGTGTTTGATGGTATGACAGCAGTATGACACTATTCATGGATGTGTTTGATGGTATGACAGCAGTATGACTTTATTCATGGATGTGTTTGATGGTATAACAGCAGTATGACACTATTCATGGATGTGTTTGATGGTATGATGTAGTCATTATTTACGGATGTGTTTGATGGTATAACAGCAGTATGACACTATTCATGAATATGTTTGATGGTATGATGTAGTCATTTTTTACGGATGTGTTTGATGGTATGACAGCAGTATTACTTTATTCATGGATGTGTTTGATGGTATGACAGCAGTATGACTTTATTCATGGATGTGTTTGATGGTATAACAGCAGTATGACACTATTCATGGATGTGTTTGATGGTATGATGTAGTCATTATTTACGAATGTGTTTGATGGTATGACAGCAGTATGACACTATTCATGGATGTGTTTGATGGTATTGTCATAGCGACTGATTTACGACATCCATTGTCTGAAGAACATTTGATTGCAAAGGCTCATTACCCTGGAGCCATGACATCTATATGCCTTGAAACACTTGATTGGTATGACAGCAGTATGACACTATTCATGGATGTGTTTGATGGTATGATGTAGTCATTTTTTACGGATGTGTTTGATGGTATGACAGCAGTATGACTTTATTCATGGATGTGTTTGATGGTATAACAGCAGTATGACACTATTCATGGATGATTTTGATGGAATGACGTAGTCATTATTTACAGATTTATTGAGACCATGAACAACTCACATGCTTTATTTATCCACACTGACCTCTGTTCAAGTGGGCATACTTTAGATTACAGATAATTTTGTTATTAGACACGTACCAGGAAGCGAAGTGCTTGTGGATCTCAGTTGTCGAGACTAAAATACCCCAAACAAGCTTTAGCTTGAATGATTGATAACCTTTGGGGACCATTTCTTCAGTGTGCACAATAACAACGGGAATATTTCTCCTTCAGATGCAATGCAATTGGAAACTTTCTTCAGGTGAACAAACAATGTGTAATAACAGTCAGTGAGTTCTGACTTTGATATAGTCACACTAATCACTCATTCTTATGTCTAGTACATTGATAACACAGTGAATTTGAATGTCAAGACAGCTGTCATTGTTGAGTTTGACAGGCAGGGTGTGTCACTGTTTCTGACATGTTGGAGATGACAGCTGTTACAGTCTTGATTGCTATCGGAAAAGAGTGTTTTGTGAAGGCATAAAATTGATATTCTCTGATAGCAGTTCCTTTGACCTGACTTAAACCACATTGAACACCAGGAGTTTTTAATAATGATCTGCTCATAGCTACTTGTTTTCTTTTATGTTACTATGTAGCTGTAGTTTGAGGATGACAAACCTAGAAACATAATCAGGGTGAACAGGGATTTGAACCCACAATCAATCATAAGTTTCTAGCATGCCCAAGGGACGCAACTCTGAACAATGAATTGCGGTGCCTTAGATGACTGGGCTACCTGTGCCCCCAGTTTAAGGATGAATGAGTGGTGACAGTGTGTAACCTGTGTGATGGTGTTGAAATCAGCTGTGATACAGCTGGGCTACAGCTGACCATCACGCAGACAATCACGTTGACAATCACGTCATTCATTCTTGTCTTGTCTGTTTTCACTACATGTTTTTCATTTTTCATATTTTCATTCCAGATTTTCATTCCGGCTCATGAATCTGTACTCTGTGACCCGAGGCGGCCATCATGCTTCATTCAGATGAACCAAGGGCTTGCTGGATGCCAGTCGAACCAACCAGGCAACTAGACCACCGTTTGTCCCTCTGACAACACACCAGCAATACAAGACTCACCAAACAGTAGCCTGCAGTATCCCTCAGTATCTCACGAGGCTGTTCCACTTCCGTCTGTTTCCGTGGACAGTACAATAATGTGAACAGTTGTGTTTTGTAATCTGCTGTTTGTGGATCGTGCGTAGAAGTCAGTATGGGTCAAACAGGCAGTGCCCAGCTTGAGACCCTGCCTCATGCCGTCCAGGCTCAGCCTCTTCCTGTCAAGAAGGTGCCTCCTCCTCGTCCTTTATCTCCACCCAAGCGGCCTCGTAGTCCGTGCAAGAACCCCAAGTATGCTGTGCCTGAGAACAAGGTTCTTCCCGTGGGAGGACTGCCTCAGAGGAGACTGCGGCCGGTGTCACAGGAAATGTCCAAGCAGCATCCAGAGTTCGCGGAGTTGTTCCACAAAAATGACTTGGATGATGAAGAAGAGAGAGATGCAGAGGAGGATATGGATGTTAGTGATGATGGTGCCAAGACAAGTGATAATTACAAACCATCGTTGCCTGGTGAGGGTAGGAATGTGAAAGACATTGACACTGAGAAAAAGACAATTTTTGACAAGAAGACTGATGTAACTGTCAGTGAGCATCCAAACGGTGTTGTTTCTATTAGAGGTCCTAGTAGTGACGGCCTTCTGAATGAACAATCAGCTGATTCTGGACTGAGACGGACTCATTCACTTGATCGGGCACCGATGAAGCCCCGTGGCCATAGGCGTCACCCTTCAAAGACAATGAGTTTAATTAATGAGGAACATACCATTTTTGAGGACCCTAGAGAAAGTCTGGCTGAGACTAGAGATCATTTGTATGACAACTGGAGAAAAGAACCTTACACTAATGCTACACCAACTGGTGTGTCACTGCCTGTAAGAAGCAACTTTGAGATTGATGTTACATACAACATGACATACGCCCAGTTGGCTGAACATCGGAGACAGAAGTACCTGGAAGAATTAGAGAAAAAGACTGGTATCAGTGTAGGCAAACTACAGACTGATCTAGCAGATAATAGTAATGTTCAGTATAATCCATTTCTGCGACAGGCTTCACGTGAGTCCACACGAAGTACCAGCACCGCTAGTTCTGAAACGGGGGTGAGTAAGCGTAAGAAGAAGAGAGCTCCACCTCCTCCAGGAAGTAAAGTTGAAGATAATGCTGACGAGCCACCTATTGACTACGACATGGATGAACCTCCAGTTCCAGTAGGGAAACAGCACCAGCGTCGTATGTCAGTAGCATCAAATGCCTCCATCCTCAGCACCAAGACAAAAGCAGCTCCACCACCCCCGACCAATGTCTCCAACATTCCTACAGCTCCTGCACAGATGGAGCTATCATCAGCTACTGTTGTTTCTTCAGTTGTACCTCCTGCTGAGGCTCCAAAACCCTCTGTATCAACTCCTTCCGCATCTGTTACTCTGCCCCCTATGACATCAGCACCTCAACCTCCTGTGTTGTCACCACCTTCTGTGACATCACCACAACCAGCTCCTGCGACGTCACCACAACCACCTCCTCAATCTTCTCCCCCTCCTCCACCAACTTCTCTTCCCCCTTCCTGTACACAGGCCTCTGTGAAGTCAGTGGCGCCGAGTGATGAAGAACAGCAGGCTATTAGTAAACTAGATGAACTCATTTCAAGTAGGACTCCTGACAACAACCCTACAGAGTCAGATAATGATGATTCAGAAGGTGATCATGAGAAGGAGGATGTGAATAATCCAACATTGAAGAGCCCAGAAAAGAGGCTCAATTCTCTCGTCAATGGCCATGGTGAGAGTGAAGGATATTCTGACAGAGTACGTGTGTTGAAACCCAAGCTGCCACCAATCACTCTAGAGAAGCCTAAGGATCAAAATGAAATGTTCCGGGAGCAGTTAGCCAGGGCTTATGAGGATCGAGCAAAGAGGAGAGAGGAAGACCTAAGAAGGAAGGAGGAAGAGAGAAAGAAAAAGTTGGTTGATCAAGACGAAGAGGAGGAAAAAAATATGTCTGCTAGGTCAGACAAGAAGCATGGTGAATCGGTGGAGATATTGAGAAAGTTGAGTCAAGACTTGGACAAGAAGTGGATCAGTAGCAGCCGATCACGTTCTCCAGAAGTCTTCTCCAGTCATGAAACAGATGATGATGACTTGTCCTCTGAAGAGATCAAAACTCCAGGACACCACAGAGTTTTCTCTGAAGACTGGACCCCTGAGCATGACCTTGAGTCAGATGATGACATTGAAGACAGACATACTGCATATTCACATCAAAGAAGCACTTCTGAAGGCTTCAAGTCATCCATGGTTCCAACCAAATTCAATGAGTTAAAGAAAAATAGTAAAGGAAAATATATCCGCAAACAGTCAGAATCATCAAATGATGATAAAAATAAGTATGGTAGTATTAGAAAATTGAAAAAGACGGTCAACAAAAGTGTTAGAAATGCTTTTGGTTCTTTAAGTCGAGCTTCAGGAAAACTGCTTCGGAAGCAGAAGTCGATGGATTTGGATTCAGATGTTGCTCCTCCTCCTCCACCACCTCCCTCAAACTGGCATCTCTCTGTGTCATCAAATCAGCTGAATGGACCGCCAAGACCATTAGAAAGGCGTTTATCACAAGGTAATATTCTGACTTCAGAAGAGGAGAGCTCTGAAGAGGAAAATGAACAGCAACAACGGATGTCCTCCCAGTTGGAAAGTTTAAATCCTGAACTGAATGGGTACATCCCAGGACAAACTAATTCCTTGCAGCGTGGAAATATTGGGATTGAAACAACACTGGGGTATCGGCTTTATAAGAAGAAAAATAAGAAGAAGAATGGGTATATTCCTAATGCTCAGCAACAGCATGACCCTAGGGAAGTGTTTATGTCCGAACAGATCAAGGAGAAGGAGCGTCAGATTGAGATGGAGAAACACAGACAGCTGGAGATGGAGAAGGAGATGTTACGACTTAAAGCTTTGGAGCAGGAGGAACGGTTCCAGCGTCTCCAGACAGCTCACTTCCACCAGCAGCTCCAGATTGTGCAACAGAACATGTCAACTGGAGGATCCACCATCAGCGCTCCCCCACTCCCACCAGCGGAAGGCTTGCATGGCTACAACATGCCTGGCTATCCAGGTCAGCCTCAGGCGTACCCTCACATCATGAATCAGGGTCAGCCTGCTGTCACACAAGTGCTTGAAACACCTTTCGGTAACGGAAGTAGTGTGCCAACTTTGCCCAACCTTACCTCAATCGATATCAACTACCTCACCAATCTGATGAGGATGAATGGCGTCCAGCCTCCAACATCTTCTCAACAATGGGCCTACCTGCTAAATTCAGTCAGTCATTCTGCACAGCCAAGACAAGGCAAGTCCATGTACAGTGGTCCCGACCTTTCATCCCAGTCTCATCAAGTAAAGAGCATGTATGTCACAACTCCTGGTCCTGACCTCACAAAGATGTTCACAGGAAGGTGTCTCGATGACAATCACATGGCAACTCAGAAGCATAACATGATGGAGTTTCTCGGTGCCAGAGGACAATCGCAGAGCTTCTCTAGTCTGGACCGCCAGCATGACCCTAGTGAGATAAACAGTCTCTTGCAGGAGTACCAGCGGTCAGCAAGCCTGCATGCACCATCGGCGCCATCTCTGTCAGAGAAAGCGAAGCAGAGGTCGAACCCCATGTACTACTCCAGTGATGAGGAGGACCTGTCCAGTGGGTTATCTCCAGCTCGTACAGGTCGCAACTATGTGGCAAGTGTTCATGTGAAGGACTTTCGAAACATGCCACAGGTACAGCAGCAGGATGCTTACATGAAGGCTGGGGATGTTGGAGGGTCTGTGTATTCTGCATACCATGTTCACGGCCTCCCAACACACTTGCCAAGGTGAGATCAAAACATTGTTGCCATTAGTCTAGGTTAATAATACAGATATAATCAGACTGCTGATGAAGTGAAATTTCAATGGTTCTATGGTTTAATATCATTTAATGTAGGATGTGGCACAGTGGCACAGTGGCACAATGTGATTGTGTTGTGATTAATGCTGACACCAATACACAATGATTTCAAATGAGCAAACCCATGAATCATAGTTGGTCTTCAGCAATTCAAGCTTGTCATAAGAGGCGACTGATAGTATCAGGTTGTCAGACTTTATCTCGATGGTTGTCATCATATTCCAATCGCGTAGATCGATGCTCATGATGTCAATTACTGGAATGCCTGGTCCAGACTTGATTATTTACAGACCGCCATCATATAGCTGGAATATTGCTGAGTGGGGCCTTAAAAAACAAACAAACCAGACCAAATCCAATGAGCACCACACCTTGAAGTACAATATGTAACCAGTAATTTATATACAATGACTTGGTCTTGTCACTTATTTGAATGTATTGATATAGAGACAGAATTATTATATTTTTAAAAACTCTGAATGTGTATCCATATTGTTTCTACTTTTCATTAGTTTGGACTTATCATTTTTTAAGGTCAGCGGATCCGTAAACAAAATTTGATCAAATGTTGGCCTTGCAATGAACTTGCAGTGGAATATGCAGTGTCATTAAGTCCTGCCATGTCTGTTGAAGGTCTCCACGAGAAGAGGATAGTTCAAGTGGAGCAGATCGCTAGTTCAGATTGCTATCTTGGACATGTAAAAGCAGATTGCTAGTTCAGACTGCCATCCTGGATGTGTACAAGCAGATTGCTAGTTTAGACTGCCCCATTGGACGTGTAAAGTACATTGCTAGTTCAGACTGCCATCTTGGACGTGTACAAGCAGATTGCTAGTTTAGACTGCCCCATTGGACGTGTAAAGTACATTGCTAGTTCAGACTGTGATCTTGGACATGTAGAAGCACATTGCTAGTTCAGACTGCCATCTTGGACGTGTGGATGCTGATTATGTTCCAGGCTGGCAGTTGGTGGAGTGCTTGCCTTCATCATCATGCTGCACTTAGTATGTACGGACATGTGTGTGTGGAACACAGATGCTGTGTGGAACGCCCTCCTGACTTCCATGGGAGGAATGGTTTCCTCACCACATGGGTGAGATGACAACGTGTGTGTCCCGACAGGATGCATGACAGGAGGAGGAGGAGTTCCTCACACAAGACGTTGATTTAGATGTGGATCAGACTAAGTTGAGCATGTGTACAGACACTTTCAGAATGTGTACAGACAGTCAGTAGAATGTGTACCGATACTTTCAGAATATATACAGTTATATCATTCGGTGGATATAGATTTAGTCTCATCATGTACACAGATTTCATGGAAGTAAACAGAAGTATACAGATAGAGAACTGTGATATATACTTGTCTTCCTGGAGGCCTGGATTTCAACTTACAAAATGTTTGCTGTTGATTCATACTGGCTGGCATTTGGCAAAGTAAATCTGATGTGTGAACCCAGTGTGCGTAGCAAGGAGAAGTCCCCTGTAACCAGACAGTTATTGGTTCACATGAATGTTTGGCCAGATATGACAGTAACAAGACAAACACAGATATGTCCCTGGTATGATAAACAAGATATGTCCCTGGTATGATATATAAAGGATATTATATGAGTATTCATGTCATACTATGTTTACGACATGAGTGTCTCAATTTCGTAATTTACCGAGCGAGAGTGATGGAAATACCTGAATTTAGACTTGAGTGTCGTAAACATAGTATGACTTGAACACATGATAATGTTCTATTTATTACTGAAGAAGACTACATACAGAGATTTACCTATTAGGACAGCAAGTCGCAACAGCAGCGGAACCACAATTTGTTGACAGCCTATTTTAATATATACATATATTGCTTTAATATGGAAACTCAGTGCTGGCTACAAATACTGAAGTATTATTCAGCATGATCTAGAAACATAACACCTTCCAGATTGTATAATTGATACAGAGGTGGGAGAGTTATAGGTTTGTTGACAAATGGCATGTGTTTGCTAATTATCATTACCTGTGTGTACGTGTAGCATAAATGTGCAATATGAGGATATAGGAGGAGATTTACTCCCTTGTGCAAGATTCAGCAGTGAGGTTTTTAATTGTATTTTCTAGCAAAACTGTGTTTCTTCATTCTGATTGTATACATGTACAATTCTGATTGTATACATGTACAATATCAATGGTTGTGACCCAGACTGAATATTGTCTGTTTGTCTGATCACTACTGTGTCCCTTCAAATGCTTGGCAATAGAATATTTTCCTCTGTGCAAATTTGTAATACAATATTTATTAGTGGGGACAGCTTTTGCAATGCCACTTGTTTAGGTTGTTCTCTGACTGTGATACGACTGTATCCATTATGTTTAAAACCCTCACGTGTAACTTCAGCTGTCAGCTTTACCTTGTCAAGGGAAATTAATCCAGAGTGCCACTGTGAACATACACAGGTAATTTGGGGGGAGTTTGTTGCAGTGAAAAGTTCTGTCAACCCAGGATATTTTCTTTAAAGAGAAGTTTTACCATTTTACCAAATCTTACGACATACGATGACAGTCAGTTTTTTTTCAACACACATTCGCACTTAAACATCTTCACATTTACACTGACTTGTTTGTGCAGTGCCGTACACTGCTACCCATTGAGTTGGTCCTCCTTCGTTCCCTCTTCCACATACTGACACTACTTCCCTACCTTAGCTAGCTGATAGTGATCAATTTGTTGACATCTTTAGAAGAGATTTCTTATTGAACAATTTTAACGACTTCTTTTATATGAAAAATTGAAAGATATATGTATGTAACAGAAAAAGAAATTCAATTAAATTTTATGTATTTTTTATTATTAATATCCTTTGTTCTCTTGTATTAAATTGTAAGAGGTGGACTTTTTTGACTGAAGAGGATGAGGAGGGTAGTTTTTACAGAAAGCAGCTGCAGAATGAGCCTGTCATTGCTTAGTGACTAGTAGCAAAATGTTTTAGTTTCCCGGACGTTTGAACTATGTTTGTTCAATACCGCTCACGAACAGATATAACTATTGTGTATGTAAGTAAGATATATGGATGAACAACCTCTGTATTACAATCAGGAGCAACATGTTGGTGGAGGTTCTTACAACGTTATCAAGCAGTGTTGCTCCTAATTGTATAAAGAAGTTGTTCATCCATATATCTCATCATTACTTAGTACTCCAACTTCTACTTGCCCCTCAAAGACGTTATTTGTGTATGGTTGTAATAAGTGCCCCCCTTTGTAAATTGTCCGAGTGCCATGGGTGTTAATTACAGCTAATACAGTAACTGCACACCTTGTTCAGAATGCCAGCCATTCTTCCCCACACTATATGTACATCGACACATCTGTGTTGACACTAAGCCTGGGACTGATGTACAGCTGTTTTCGAGATGCCTTATTCATACTAAGTCTGTATGCATTAGCATCTATTCCATATACCATATATTACTGCTTTTTGTATATAGAAAAAAAGGTTTCATTTTAAAATCATGTCAATTCAAGTTAAAAACTGGGCATAAATATACTTGTAAATTTTTAAAATTCATGATTTCTGTATTACAGAAAAAGATTATGAAATTATAAAACAAACCTTTTAGATGAGGAAAGAGGCACAGAAGCCAAATCAAGTTTGTATATTGATACTAAGCAGGACGTTATGGAAACTGGTGATGTGTTATGACTTGGGAATCTGTGCCATGTCTTACAGATGTCGAGTAGTATAGTGTGCTAGCGGCAGGGTGATGTATCAGGTGCAAACTGTAGCATAGGAGCATAGCCACTCTCATATCCACTCTCATATCCACTTTCATATCCTACAGGACTGTGCATGTAACCAAGGAACAATGTTCTAAAGAAGTGACAATATTCTACATTTATAGCCGGATTTCATTGTGCCTTTTAAGTATATTATACATGAACGGTATCACATTCTATTTGTCTATAGCCAACAGATATGACCTTCCTCGTTGATTATATCATATGGTCATATTTACATGTGTGATATAGGGTCATATTTACATGTGTGATGTGATATAGGGTCATATTTACATGTGTGACATAGGGTCATATTTACATGTGTGACATATGGTCATATTTCACATGTGTGATATAGGGTCATATTCTTATTTATTTGGTCGACCTGTGAAGATCCAGGGTAGAATAGGTCTTCAGCAACCCATGCTTGCCATACAAGGCGACTATGCTTGTCGTAAAAGGTGACTAACGGGATCGGGTTGTCAGGCTCGCTGACTTAGTTGATGCATGTCATCGATCCCAATTGCGTGGATCAATGCTCATGATATCAATTACTGAATTGTCTGGTCAAGACTTCATTATTTACAGACCGCTGTCATATAGCTGGAATATTGCTGAGTGTGGCATTAAACAACAAACTAACAACAATTATTTATATGGTCATAATATTGATTTCATGTATGATATATGGACATCTTTTACATGTGTGATATATGGACATATTTCACATGTGTGATATATGGACATCTTTTACATGTGTGATTATATGGACATATTTTACATGTATGATATTTGGACATATTTTACATGTGTGATACAGTGTATATGGACATCTTTTACATGTGTAATATATGGACATATTTTTCATGTGTGATTATATGGACATATTTTACATGTGTGATATATGGTCATCTTTTACATCTGTCATATAGTCAATGGTCACATTTATTTTTATTTTTCTGTCTTTGAAAGTTGTTCTAAAAAATTATAATTGCATTTGGTGCAAATGTTTTTGTCAATTACAATTTCTATTATGTCTATTCTATTATGCATTGCAATATAGTGAGCAATATTTTTTATATGTTATATAGAGATACAATATTTTTTTATTTCAATTTCTGAAAATAGAAAATGTATTGAATTTGACTATTGCAAAAGTGATAAGGTTATTGAACAAGGAATGTCGGTGTTCATTTTGGTTGTTGCACAAAATGAGTGTAACACACTGGTGACATCCCATGTATGTCTACTCAAGGAGTGGCCCATGGCAACACATATTTATTATAGTGGTGTATGGCGCAGTTATCAGAGCCCAATAACACATGTGAGACTGCACAGATGATGATTATAATTATTCAATTACAATTGCAAAACCATATGACAATTGAACATACAATACCAATACTGTACTGTGATGTACTGTACTGTATTGTTCTGTACTGTATTGTGATGTATTGTTCTGTACTGTACTGTGATGTATTGTACTGTATTGTGATGTATTGTATACTGTCTTGTATACTGTATTGTACTTCACTGAAACACTATGCAACCCAAAGACAATTACAATCACTATATATACTGAACCACAAAAGAAACATCACCATGGATAGATATATGAGAAATCATATTTGTCCAAACATTGTAAAACATACTTTGAGACATATTAAAAAGATGAAACTTGGCAAAACTGATCATCAAGGTGGAAATTGAAGTGTCAAATGTTCTTAAAGTGAAACACAACACTAGTCTCTGAGAAAATGGCATCACAAATGAGTATCTCATGTGTCTGCCATATGTATTGATGACTGCGGTGCAACTTCAATACATGTGATGGATGAGGCGGTTGATGAAGGTCATGGGCACTTGAGCCCGCACACTGAGAACGCCTGACGCAGTTCAGCTGCAGTTGTCGGCCTTGGTAGGACGTCATTCAGCCGTCTTTGAATCTCGTCCCACAGGGGGCAGGCTACTGCATGGTTCTGATGCCATTCTGCTGGAGGAAGTCTCTTGTTGCTCTCGCAGTGTGGGCATGGGAGTTATCATGTTGAAACTTGTGGTTGCAACGATGTGCCAATTGAGGTATGGCGTGTGGTCTGAAGACAGGCCTGGCTATGTCAGGCCTGGCTATGATGTGGTGTCAGAATGGGACCTCTGTGTGGCCTGTGACAGTTGAGGTGTCTGCTCATCAATTGTTGACAAACGGTGTCGCACAATCTGACGATCCTGACGTCGGGTGGTGACCCTTGGTCTTCGACTACGTGGTCTGTCATCTGTAGTGTTGGTGGTCTGGTACCGTTGCTGGAGCCTGTATATGGTCCTTACGTGGACTTGAAATGTATTGGCTACTTGCCAGGCGGTTTGTCCAGCCTGCAATCGTCCAAGGGTTTGGTGTCGCTGATTTCTTGTCAATCTTGGCATGTGGTAGCAATTCAATAACGAATGAATGTTATTCGATCTGGGTGGATTTTTATAGGGCAAGAAATGAGGGAACGCATGTGCATTTAATTTGCATGGAACTGACATGCATTGGGTTACCATGGCCGGTGCCGTGATGCATTTGGGCGATTGGTTTTATTGTCATCTGCTTTGTTTTTTATCATCAAATTTCATTTTTCGAACAAAGTAATGTTAGATTTTAGAAACTTTGACAAAAATTACCCAGATATTTAAATGACAACTTTTCATGTAATGTTACTTGGGGTGATGTTTCTTTTTTCTTCTTTGGTTTCGATGGCAAAATGTTGTTGAGATTTCAGGCAAAAGTATTCATGATGATGGTCTCCTGATGCTACAAGCAAGTGTCAGGTGCACACATCTACAGTTTACAATAGTCACACCACAACCAAATGGTCATTTCAATGACTGCAAACATTTTATACACTTTTTGTAATTATTTGAGCAAAAGCTATTTCAATAACTTGATGTGGAATATGCAAACCTTGAGTTTCAGAATGTTTGTGTCTATCCTGCACAGAAGTACCAGTTTGGAGTCTCACATGTCACTAAATTCTCCAAAGGAAATATGTCATATTGTTTCCATGCAGTTATTTCTATTTGAGAACTGTTAGCTGTGATGGAGAGACATAAATCTGTCACAAATGAGTTTTATCATCAACCACCTTTCATGAGTTATCCCATAACTGTTTCAATCGACCTGTCTTTTCATTAGGCGTGTTCAATATATTGACCTTGAGGTAACCAGGTATATCTGCCACACCTGTGAACACCTGTAATTAATGGATTTGTATTCATGAAAGCTATGAACATGGCATGTTGTATCTTCAAGTAATAATTTAACACATAGTTTTTGTATGCTGTTGAAATATTTGAATGTTATGCTATGATGACATGACATGACACACATGACATGAGTTGTGTGGGAATTGTGTTGCTCTGCATCAGCACTACTAAGACAACATCTACGCTCTCACCACTAGTCACAGGTATCGTCAGTGCTATTCCCCCGCCATCCCTGCATTGTTCTATACTGACATGATACAACTGGGTCAATTAGTTCAGGAAATGCTTTTCCAAAAAATCTTCATTTTGGAGATTACGTGAGGTAACTTTATGTGCTATCAATGTATCCTATTTATAGATATAGATCTGGTGACCTATTACGCGGTGTAGAACGTACATTTCAGGAATGGCAAATAAGCATATGTGATGCCGCACACCAGCTTCCCCTATATCTACTATTTATCTGTAGATTTATTGTCACTGGGTATTCCATTATATACCTGTTTGTTTTTGCAAATGTTTAAAGGTTTTGAATGAAATGTAAATAGATACAAATCAAAATCCTATCTCCAGCCATTCAGCAGATTTAGTTGTGTTGAACAATGTTACCATTTACAGAGATTTTATGTTTGGCTTGTCATAGCATTGACCTGTCTTACAGACCTTGTTAATAAGGAGAAATATATATCATTTATACACTTGAAATATGCATGATTATGTATGTACTGTATCTACAGTAATAAATGCACATAATTAAAAAACTTTTTCTGTCTTTCTTTCACAACAAAACTGAAAGAATATTTTCATTAGCCTAAACTTTGAATTACTGTATTACTTGATTTGAAAAAACATTTTGATCTATATGAAGACTCACCCCGATTATGATGTTTAGGACTTGCGAAGATCCGGGTATATAATCGGTCTTCAGCAACCAATGCTTGACATAAGAGGCGACTATGCTTGTAATCTGGATCGGGTGGTTAGGTTCGTTGACTTGGCTGATGCATGTCATCATGTCCCAATTGCCTAGATCGATGCTCATGACGTCAATCACTGGATTGTCTGGTCCAAACATGATTAGTTACAGACCGCCATCATATAGCTGTTATATTGCTGAGTGCGGCATTAAACAACAAACTAACAAATATTATGTTCGGCCAGGACCATGTCCCTTGTGACTAATAACCAGGAAGTGAAGTGGTCCATCTCACATCCCATGTGACTGATCAACCAGGAAGTGAAGTGGTCCATCTCAAACTCATGTGACTGATGAACCAGGAAGTGAAGTGGTCCATCTCACATCCCATGTGACTGATCAACCAGGAAGTGAAGTGGTCCATCTCACATCCCATGTGACTGATCAACCAGGAAGTGAAGTGGTCCATCTCAAACTCATGTGACTGATGAACCAGGAAGTGAAGTGGTCCATCTCACATCCCATGTGACTGATGAACCAGGAAGTGAAGTGGTCCATCTCACACTCATGTGACTAATAAACAGCAAGTGAAGTAGTCCATCTCACACTCATGTGACTGATGAACCAGCAAGTGAAGTGGCCCATCTCACTCTCATGTGACTAATAACCAGGAAGTGAAGTGGTCCATCTCACATCCCATGTGACTGATGAACCAGGAAAAGAAGTGGTCCATCTCACATCCCATGTGACTGATGAACCAGGAAGTGAAGTGGTCCATCTCACTCTCATGTTACTAATAACCAGGAAGTGAAGTGGTCCATCTCACATCCCATGTGACTGATCAACCAGGAAGTGAAGTGGTCCATATCACATCCCATTTGACTGATGAACCAGCAAGTGAAGTGGTCCATCTAAAATACCATTTGACTAATAACCAGGAGGTGAAGTGGTCCATCTTACTCTCATGTTAGTGATGAACCAGGAAGTGAAGTGGTCCATCTCAAATCCCACGTGACTAATAACCAGGAGGTGAAGTGGTCCATCTCACTCTCATGTGACTGATGAACCAGGAAGTGAAGTGGTCCATCTCACATCCCATGTGACTGATGGACCAGGAAGTGAAGTGGTCCATCTCACTCTCATGTGACTAATAACCAGGAAGTAAAGTGGTCCATCTCACATCCCATGTGACTAATAAACAGGAAGTGAAGTGGTCCATCTCACATCCCATGTTAGTGATGAACCAGCAAGTGAAGTGGTCCATCTCACATCCCATGTTAGTGATGAACCAGGAAGTGAAGTGGTCCATCTCACATCCCATGTGACTGATGAACCA